GCTCCTGGAATTGGGGGTGGGGATGGCAATCCTGACTTTTGTTGGGAACATTGCCGAATTCTTATTGCATGAGATTCCCAATAAAATTCCCCCAGGAGTCTCACAGTTAAAAGGTCTTGGTCTTCATTTACCCTGCCTGGCACCTGGGGCCTTGATAACTGTACAGTAGGAGATCTTAAAGGGTGGCGTGACATTTAAGGAGGCGAGGTAGGGGGGAGCCACTGGCAGGGTGCCTGGCTCTCAGCGGACACCCCCAAAATGGTGGTGAGGGTTGCACTTCCGATGCACTTGGTGAATGTGTATATTAGCCAAGAGCTGGGTGGTTCTGACGTCTCCACAACCCGGAGGCTCTGTAAATTGGCTTTCTAGTGCTGGCAAAACAAATGGGCTTATAATCACATCAGTGTATTCTCTCAGAGTTCCTGTACATCAGAAGTCTGACACAGGTCGTCACATCAGGCTGGAATCACGGTGCCATCACGGCTGCCTTTCTTACTGGGGCTCTAAGAGAGAATTCACTTTCAGGCTGAAGGCAGAACCTAGTTCCTTGTGGTTGTAGGACTGAGGTGCCCATTTCCTGGCTGGTTGCTGGTGGGGGCCAACCACAGGTCCTAGCGGCCTCTGTCCTTGTCCTCACATCTCGGAGGCAGCAATAGCACACGGAGTCTTCTCACCCGTGAATCTCCACGCCCTCCCCTCCTGCCACATCTCTTTCTGCCTCCAGCCGGAGGAAGTACCCTGCTTTCAGGGACCATGTGACCATCATGGGCTCCAACTCAAGGACCCAGAAGCCTTCCTGGATCAAGCTCTCTGGCCTTAATCACGCCTGCAAAGTCCACCTTGTCAGGTAACATCCTCTTCCTGGGGTCCGGGTATCAGGGCCGGGACACCTGTGCAGGTCACTGTTCGGTTCCGCACTCTCTGCAGTGGGTTCTGTCCCCTGGGGGAACTCCAGCTCAGGGAGACTGCGCTGGGAGAGCAGAGCTGTCCTTTCTTTCAAAAAGCGTTCACTGAGCACTCGCCGTGTGCTGGGGGCTCGCCAAGTACTTGGCGTGTAAACTAGAATGCTGACCTCACTGTCAGGAAAGAGGGGAGGAGGAGACACCGACTACGGAACCTACCATGTGTCAGGGGCACTTCATGCATTTGCTCTCATGTCCAAGGGCATCCCATTGTGCAGATGAGCAAACTGAGGCTGCATAACATGCCCAAGGTCACCCAACTTACACTCCTCAGTCAAGATTCGCCCCTTCTTTCCTCTCTGGTCTGAGCCATTCAGGATACCCCCAGTCCAGGGAGGGCAACACCACACCTTCTGGGACCACGTCCTGAACCCTCCCCCTCAGGGGTCGCTTCTCTCTTCCCCCAGAAGGGGAGGCTGTCTTCGTCTGTGACCTTACGGAGGGACTTGGGGTTTCCTGAGGCAGCTGCAGGGGGGAGCTGACTGGCCTGCGGCCCCTGGTCTGGTTGCCCCAAGTTCTCTGCAGAACCCAGGGGGAGACCGTGGCGACGAGTGGGCCGCCCCAAGAGTCTCCTCCGGGGGAATTTACATGTCGCTGGCTGCCCAGGTGTCTCCTTCCTCTTTTCGATGACCCGGTGACCTCACAGACCTTCCCTCAAAGTGATAAGCTGCGGGCTTCAGACCACAGCCTAACGGAGAGCTGGGAACCAGGGCGGTGCTGACGGGCCGCTGAGCAAAGTGAGCAGGGCCGTGGCAAAAGCGCAGACAAATCCGAATAGAAGCGCACCTGTCCTAAGGGACGGTCCCGCCAGTTACAGGGAGCGAATAGCGTTCTCAGCGATGACACTTGCCTCTGGAGGGGGCTGTGTCCCTGATGCTCTCATGGAGGAGGGAAGTATATTCGTTTATTTACTCCTCACAGCCCTCGGCAGCGTAGGGGGCTCAGAGCCGGAAGGAATGCCAGCCGGCCAGGTGCAGCGTCCGGGGTCAAAGGCAGATGCGCCCTCCACCGACTCTCAGCCAAACTCCTCCCACCGGGGCCCCCGGGGCCGCAGTGCCCACGAGCCCGCGACCTCCCGTGTCCCTACGACACTCGTGCAGTTGGTTTTCTTCCCTGTCCCACAGGTAAACACGCGGGGCTTCAGCAAGGTCTGAGGGCGAAGGCCACGGTCGGGAGCACATGCCCGTCCGTGAGAAGGTGGGAACGGGAAATAGGAGGGATCAAAGGCCAGGCCGCGTGGTCTCTGCCCTGGACCAGCTCTCAGGAAAGTATGGCCCCAGAGACAACACCCAGGACGTCTGAGCTGGAGGACGCTGGGCCCGCATCGCCATGATGAGGCTGAGAACACAGAGAAGTGCACACCGGGGGCCCCCGCCAGCCCCTGTCACGGGGCTGTGGTCAGAACCCCGGCCACATCCCCTCGCTGGTGGTCCCTCCTGCATCCTGAGATGCCCTGAAGGCCTATGCTGTCCAGATGGGACGGGCTGACTCGATGTGTGTGGGGACAGAGGGAAGACTCATACACTCCCCTCCCCTCCGCCCCTCCGCCACTGGCAGGAAGGCCACGTCCACCCAGCAGCAGGGCAAGGGTCGCCGAAAAGTCGGGAGGTGAAAGGGCAGCACTGGTCAGCGTGGCCTCGGCATCAGTGGGGCAGAGACTGAGGCGTTGAGTGAAGACCTTCCCGCTGAGCCGCCACTGGTCTGAGTCACTTCCTCCTGAGCTGGAAGCCACTGGGGGCGGGAGGAGGCGTCAGTAACATAAGCTGCAAGGTCCCTGAACACATAGCAGGGTCCGGGGCTCAGGGGTGCCTTGGTCCCCACTGGTCCTGGGTGACGAGGGCAGCGCCTCCCGACCGCCCCCCAGGCCATCAGGCAGCGGTCCCCAGGCAGGGCTGCATGCATGAAAGTCACCGGAGAAGCTTGTGGGAAACACAGGTTTCTGTTCCCCAGATTTTGAGAATAAATGGTCTAAGGTAGGGCTCCCAAATCTATATTTTCAAAGGAACAAGACCTGTCCTTAAAGAATAGCCCCCTGGGGCTCCCTGCCTGCCATCACCCCCTTCTGCAGAAGCCACTTCCTCCAACTGTCTGCTTCTTCGCTCGGCGGCCCATGCCTGCGTGTCTGAGTCCTGCCTCTGTGTGACTGAGCAACTCTACACCTTGATTTCCGGTACACCCGGTCCCACAGCCTCTCCACACACCCCAAGGCTGGGCAAGGGCATCGCTCTTCTTTCTTCTGTGGGTTACTGTCAACGTCCTAAAGACGGTATTTTTCTTATCCCATCAATTCCCTGAAGCTTGCTGCTTAAACAGTGAGTGTGTGTGCACCCCTTTACACCCCTCGTCTTCCCTTCTTTTCTTCGGACGTCCATGCTCTCAGATCTCCTTGGTGCTGCAACCTCGCCTACACCTTCCGTGGGTGCTCCGTGGGGTGACCCCAACACCTGCACACCAGTTAACTCGTTCCCCACATCGGACCTTGTGCACGTCGCTCCCAGGCCGAGCAGGCGCCGGGATTCCACCCCGTATGCTCCTGGTCCGTGAGACAACCCCGGGTCTTCAGAGCAAACAGTCTCTCTTATTACAGCTCATTGGTTGTTTAAAACCGTGATCTATTTCAGATTATAATATTATAGTGGGGCTTCCTGCTTCATCTAGCGTTTAGAGTGGCCTCCTCCTCCTCATCCCCCACCCCCTCACTCTCTTTCCTGCTCTCCTCCCTCCCTCCCTCCCTTCCTTCCTCCTTCCGTTCTTCTCCTCTCTCTTTCCTCTCCCTCTTTTTCCTTTGGACTCTGTGCTTATATCGTCAAGAAATGTATATATTTCTATCTCACCCTAGTGAGTCTCATCTTAAAGGAAGCAAAATATATGCTTTTTCAAGTGAGAAGGGATGGGAGCAGGAGTTCTGACTCAGCAGCTGCCCTACTGA